TTGATGTGTGTCTGTTGATGTTCCACATGGAGCTGCTGTGATGTTCCATGTTGTTGTTTGTTTCTCATGTGTTGATGTGTGTCTGTTGTTGTTCCACATGGAGCTGCTGTGATGTTCCATGTTGTTGTTTGTTTCTCATGTGTGTTGATGTGTGTCTGTTGATGTTCCACATGGAGCTGCTGTGATGTTCCATGTTGTTGTTTGTTTCTCATGTGTGTTGATGTGTGTCTGTTGATGTTCCACATGGAGCTGCTGTGATGTTCCATGTTGTTGTTTGTTTCTCATGTGTGTTGATGTGTGTCTGTTGATGTTCCACATGGAGCTGCTGTGATGTTCCATGTTGTTGTTTGTTTCTCATGTGTGTTGATGTGTGTCTGTTGATGTTCCACATGGAGCTGCTGTGATGTTCCATGTTGTTGTTTGTTTCTCATGTGTCTTGATGTTTGTCTGTTGATGTTCAAAATGGAGCTGCTGGGATGCAAGGAGCATTTTAGACTTGACCTAACCGTTAAAGTATTATCCTATCGTATCATAAATAAATGTGTTCCTCTTCAGGTCCCAGGGGTGTTGTGGGTGAGAGGGGGTCTCTAGGATCCAGGGGGGACCGAGGAGACCCGGGTCTGGTTTATAAAGATCAACTCACACCGGGAGAACCAGGAAAACCAGGACGGCTCGGACCACAAGGACTGAAAGGAGAACAGGGGGCACCAGGTACCAGAGAACATTGTTCCTACCTGTTGGTTGTATAGCTCTCACAGTATGGTGATGTCATTATCCAAAGTGAATGAACTCTCGTTTAGTTATTGATGATTTGGGATTTGCAGATGCATATGGAAACCATTTTAGCATTTTTCATTTGTTCATTTTGGACGTCAGCTCCAATAATAAGTCTAAAATAAGTTGTGTTTTCAAAATACACACAGTCTAAGCCTTAAGAACAAACATAAATGCTGATTTCTATAATATCAACATCAAGACCCCTGAATTTAAAATGTAAGTTTAAAAAAAGAGATATTCAAGATACTTTCTCATGTTTGCCTTATGGGACAAATTCAAGTCAAATTCATCAAAACCTATTTAGTTGATACTTATTTGCATATCACAGATTTCACAGATACATCAAATAATTGAACGTTATGTTTTTGAAACATTACATTTCTTAAAATATTGGGCTATTTGGTAGTTATGATCTGGACTGTTGTTAAATAATAGATGTAAATCATTGAAAGTTGAATGATGTACAAAGGATAAACGTCACTTCCTTGTTCTTATATCTATAATCAATAAAGATTGTTTTCTGTTGTCGTTCTGCTGACTTTCTGTTTTCTCTTCAGGTACTTACTGTTTTCCGGGAGCTCCAGGAGAGTCTGGAGATCCTGGTGATCAGGGGCCACAAGGGTCCCAGGGCTTCCAAGGGTTTAAAGGTTAGCATCTGGACGTATTGACTGCTTGATTGGTTGGTTGGTTGGTTGGTTGACTAATTGACTGACTGACTGACTGACTGACTGACTGACTGACTAATTGACTGACTGACTGACTGACTGACTGACTGACTGACTGACTGACTGACTGACTAATTGACTGACTGACTGACTGACTGACTGACTGACTGACTGACTGACTGACTGACTGACTGACTGAGTGACTGACTGACTGACTGACTGACTGACTAATTGACTGACTGACTGACTGACTGACTGACTGACTGACTGACTGACTGACTGACTGACTAATTGACTGACTGACTGACTGACTGACTAATTGACTGACTGACTGACTGACTGACTGACTGACTGACTGACTGACTGACTGACTGATTGAGTTAATTCAGCTTTATAAACAAATCAAAACACTTAAGGGATGAACGTTATTATTCATTGTCAATTGTTCAAGTCTTTACATCCAACAAAAAAAACTCAAATCTAGACATGTGGACAAATCCCTGAACTAATGTTCTCAATGTTAAATTAAAAGTAATCGAATGAAACGTTTTATATGACAAAAAACATCACTTTCAAAACCACATATGCATGTATTTCACTGCTGAGGGTGATACCTCACTCCTTCAAAATAACATATATGGAAGAGAAAGTGATTTTATGAACATAAAAACAAAGATTTTATAATTTATGCATGAACAGTAAAGAACACAGGCTCCAGCACATTCCCCTGAGGAACTCCACATGTTATTGACTTAATCTCACTGTGTGTTTCAGGTAGTTCTGGAGGCTGTGATTGTGGTCCCCCCATTGTGATGAAGGGCCTCCCTGGACCGGAGGGTGATCGGGGGTCTCCAGGATATTCAGGAACATCAGGGGCAACAGGGCTGAGAGGAGAGAAAGGTTTACCTGGGGACACAGGAGTACGCGGAGAACAGGTAAGCAACCAAAATAAACAGGGTGATGGATGGTTGGTTGAATGTTGGATAGATTAATTGATGTTTTGTTTTTAGGGTTTGGGGGGATTTCCAGGTGTCGTAGGGTTCAAAGGTCAGAAGGGATATTTCATTGTGGTAGATTTTAAAGGTGAGTTCAAACATTGAACTTAACGTATTAAGCACAATGTCATGTCAGCGTATGAATGGTTCTGATTGGACTTTTGTCTCCAGGTGAGAAAGGGAACCTGGGCCAGCAGGGCCTTCCAGGCAGACAAGGGTTCTCAGGGAGGAGAGGCCTCGATGGACTCCCAGGGGCCTCCGGAGACCCCGGCCCCCAGGTCAGTTACACACTCCTGATATCTAAGGTCTCTTTTTTACATGGCTGTGAAATAATTCCCTTCAAACAATTGTATTTAATTTTCATCAAAGTGTACCTTCACCCATTGCTATGTTTCATTTAAGTTCTTTGGACACCTTTTCCTCCCAACTCGCTATCCATTCTGTGTGTAAGGATTCTCATTGGATGACAGATGGAAAGACCGTAATGTAAACCCAGACTTGGTGCCTTTACTGTTGGCTATCTTTTTATGATTTCTCTGTGTCTTCTGTTTCTTCTCAGGGGGAAGGTTTCTCCAGTCCTCCTGGAGACAGAGGCCAAACTGGTTACCCGGGAACAAAAGGGTCACCAGGACCTTCAGGGCCCCCGGGGCGAGATGTAGTCGGAGCAGTAGGACAGCGAGGGCCCCCTGGAGACTCAGGACCACAAGGACTCCCTGGCCCCCCGGGGCCGAAGGGGGTTATAGGTGCAGATTTTAACCCTCGTTTTATTATCTTGATTTATTATCAAACATGGTGACGTTTCGCAGAAGTAGGATCCATGTTTGTTTTACGGATACAGCGTAAACAAATATTATTACTTCCTTCCAAAAATTATCGTACAAATACGATAATTGTTTTACATCTGACCATTGTTGACTCCTCTTCTTCCTGCAGGTGACACTCTGCCCTGTGTACCCAGAAACCCCGGCGCCCCCGGAGAGAAAGGAGACACTGGAAATGCAGGTAAGCATCACCTTTACACCTGTCTGTCTGCTCACCTGTCTGTTTACTCTCACCTGTCTGTCTGCTCACCTGTCTGTTTACTCTCACCTGTCTGTTTACTCTCACCTGTCTGTCTGCTCACCTGTCTGTTTACTCTCACCTGTCTGTCTACCTCACCTGTCTGTTTACTCTCACCTGTCTGTCTGCTCACCTGTCTGTTTACTTCTCACCTGTCTGTTTACTCTCACCTGTCTGTCTGCTCACCTGTCTGTTTACTCTCACCTGTCTGTCTGCTCACCTGTCTGTCTACTCTCACCTGTCTGTCTGCTCACCTGTCTGTTTACTCTCACCTGTCTGTCTCTCACCTGTCTGTTTACTCTCACCTGTCTGTTTACTCTCACCTGTCTGTTTACTCTCACCTGTCTGTCTGCTCACCTGTCTGTTTACTCTCACCTGTCTGTTTACTCTCACCTGTCTGTCTGCTCACCTGTCTGTTTACTTTCACCTGTCTGTCTGCTCACCTGTCTGTCTACTCTCACCTGTCTGTTTACTCTCACCTATCTGTCAGCTCACCTGTCTGTTTACTCACCTGTCTGTTTACTCACCTGTCTGT